ACTTGTGTTCTCATTTGTAATAAAACAGATTAACTTGCTGTGAAATTTTAACTAGGCTGAGACACAACAGTAGCCACCTAATGAACCAAAACACATTGCAGTTAAGTAGCTAAATAGATGCATACTGATTACAGGACTGAAAAATTGATCTGTACACTTGCAAGGAAGATAATGTTCATAGGACTATTTATTATTTTAGTAGAAATGAGACATTCCAGTTCAACATAGGTATATTTTTAAAACTCACCTAATTCTTAATCAGTGTAAGGCACTGGATCTATCTAATATGGTTTACATGGTGAAAAAAGTCTGACCTTAGTGCTGCCGTAGGAAAATAATGCAAATCTTGATTGAGTTTGGAAAGTGCAAGCTTTAAAATCTTAAAGTGGAAATATTGCTTCATGCAAACTATTACTGTCACTCTTAATATTTACCCTTTAAATCATGTTCTCAAAGTTAGTTTATTGTTTCACATGACATGCAGTTGAAAATGGCAAAGGAGTTTATGAGTCAATTATTTGAGTTCATATTATTTGATCATATGCTAATTTTAAACATAGGGGAATGCCTTATTACAGCATTATACTTCCTTATTATTCATAGCAATTTTTATTTGCTTAGATATGCTTCCTTTTTTTTATTCAGAATAAGTTTTCACTTATTTATTTTTAGGTTTTTGCCATAGGGTGTGTGCGCTTGCCAGAGAGAGACAGAGAGAGAGAAAGTGAGAAATTATCCCCGATGATGGATGGCCATGCTACAACTCCATTCTCCTTTTAGGATTTTGAGTACACAGGCACAAATGCCAACATGATTTTCAGGCAGCCAGGTCGGGGACTCAAACTGCTTAGTTGACAATGTGGGAGTAGTGCCTTAACCACCAAGCCACCTGTTGGCCCCAAGAACAAGCTTTTAAAAAATGTTATTTTAAACAATTTTTATTTATTATTATTATTTAATTTGATATAGGGCATTTAACTCATGAGAGAGAGAGTGAGACACATGAGAAAACAAGCCATCAGGGCCAGGACTCGACACACGCTGGCCATGTGGGAATCTAGTGCACAACTACCATGCCACCTGCTGGCCTCAAGCTTTTATTTTTCGTTAGACAGAGTAGGCAAGATGAAGTATCATTGTCATTTGGATTCTTTTGTTTTTCCAAAGCTATCAACTGTATTAATCACTCAAAAATTTTCGGTTTTTATAGTGGCAGCATATATTGTTATATGCATGATTTATGTTCGCCACTACACAGTGATTTTGTTTCTTCATTTCTATTTTTGCAAAGAAACTGCCATACTTTGTTCCTGTTCATTCATTTAGAAGGCAAGTAGTGATAAATGAATTAAACATTTTTTTCCAGCAAATTTCCAATATTAGAATTCAAAGACTAATGCAGAATGCTCTATACTTTTGGCAAAGTATCAGTGAGACTATACAACAGTGAAAGGCAAAAAATATTTTGGCCTCATATATGAAATTCCTTTCAATGATGTGTACGTGTGAGTTCATGCATACTATTTAGAGAATACATTTTTAAACATGACGGTTTTGGTCAAATTTCACAACTGATTAAGTCAGTTGTCTTTTCAAAAAGTGAAATGATGTGGTGTAAGGGCTATCTACAATAGATTTTGCTGTCCATCCCCACCCATACTATCCCTCCAAAGTGTAGGTAGAATTATTGTGTGTGTGTATATATATATATATATGTGTGTACATATATACACACACACACACATATACATAATTTATATATATAATTTATGTGTGTATACACACACACACACACACACACACACACACACACACATATATATAGGTTGTTGAAAAGGCACCATAAATTTTCTTTGGAGTGGTTTTTTTTTTTTTTTTTTTTT